GCTTGTTATGTGCTATTTATATCAGGCAATGTAAACAACTAGTAATCGCTGTGACACAACTGCCTACACTTCGCAGGCACTTGCCGCAGCATCAAAAACTGTTGAAATTGAGAAGATAGTCCATAATTTACATTCCTATTTCCTTCTTGTTGGAGATTTAAATAGTAAGACATCATTTCAATGTGCTTTTGCTAGAAAGCAATTGCTTTCCCTCCTTACTAAAAACCATGCCTGCTGTTTTCTCCGAATTTCTCTGGACCTCACGCATCTGTTACACGTTGCAAATTATCATAGTTTATAATTCTTGCAGTTCCCATCATATATGAAGTTAACCGCTTACGCGAAGGCAACAACTTTGCCACCCGAAGAGTAGATGCAAGACAGAAAGGAAAAACCATATTCACCTTGTTTGCGTCATTTCAGGTTTCATATTATATTCCTGAAATATTTCACTGTCAACCTCTATGCTTCTCTTGCTATATGTCATCATGAGAACTTTCACGCTTCAACACAACAGTGAAAATACCTTGTAACTTTCTTTTTTCTCTGGCTTTACAGAGAGAACAACAAGGTTTTATTCACCAGGAGTCGACCATGCCTCTTATGCCAGCTCCTGAAACGGTAATTCATTTCTCCACTTTTGAGGCTTATGATGAATTGCGAGGGATTGTCATTTCAACCCTATATAGTGCAGCTTATTTCAAGGGATGAGATGCTCGAACGGCGTATAACTGACCCTCTGCTACCTAGGTAAGTAGAAGTATTGTGCCAAACCAATTATTTCAAGAGCTCATCGTGAATCAATTTTCAATTGTTTCTTCATTTCAGGGATTACCGGAACAAATTTGCAACTGTAAATATTGCTCCATATCCTATAGATATTCGATTTTGTGAGCCAACTTATCATACAGAACATACAAAGGCTCCTCCGAGGTTATCCTACTTGTCTGACTGAATTCTGAATAAATCAATTATATTGTTGGCTTGGCTACTATCGTGTATATCTCATTTTGTCACTCTGAATCACTAATTTTTTTTTTTTTTTGTGGTTACTCATATTAACCCACCACTACTTTTAAAAACTCATCTTGCAGACTGAAATATTGGTTTAGATCAAAGGAAAAACTTTCTGATGACCCAGCTTTGCACCGGTGAGCAACTCTAATTCAGTGGTATAAAACGGATTTTAAATGTAGTGCTCACCTTTTACATTCTAAGCAGTTCACCGATCAGTGGTATTTTAGTATCACCAAATGATATTAGTTGAAGTGAATTCCAGACACGCCATATTATCTTTTAGAACATTGACAACTAGGGGTTTTCTGCAGCATACCTGGAATTCTATTGATAATGTACTTTGTAAACTAATTGTCTTGCATACACGCTATTGTTATGCAGATGTGTGGTTGCATTTGCTTCAGATTTGATATTTGCATGTATCAGCTTAAACCCTCACCGCAAAAAGAGCATGAGTTCAGCTGCTCTTAGTCTGGACCATTCGTAAGCTTTTTTTACTTTTCTTTTACCCAAGTTTTAAGTTTTGTATTACTCTCCATAACATATCTACAAACAACGTAATTCATATATACACACTCATGTAATGTAATATAAGTAAAATCTACGTTTTTACCAAAAACAATGCATCAAGTAATTGTTTCTTACTCTTCTTAAATCCCATTGCAGGATGTGGTTCCACCGACCTCTAAGAGCTGATGACTGGTTGCTGTTTGTGGTAAGAAAATTTCATATATTTGTTTTTCCGTGAAGAATACGAAGTTCTGATTAAGAAGAAAAAAGTTATGTAAAACCAAAACTCAGAATTGCACATTGTGCAGATGGTGAGTCCAACCGCGTACCAAAGCCGTGGTTTTGCCACAGGCGAAATGTTCAACAGAAAGGGAGAGGTACGTTGTTGCATCCTTTAGAATGAAGAATCTAACGTAGTTCTCAAGCTCCCTCCCATTAAGCATCATCAAATATCTTGAAAGGAAGATTGTTTCTGGTTGAATACAAAATCTGCGAAATTGAGCTAATCTTTTCTGATAATTGGTGTGCAGCTGGTGGTATCATTGACGCAAGAATGTTTGCTAAAAGAGGCAGTCACTATTAAACCTGTCTTCGGCGCCAAGCTGTGAAGTCACACATACCATGGAACATTTCATCACAGTGAGAGAGCTTTTGCATCTGTTACACACACCACACGGCCACATTCTAATGTTTCCGATTCACAATTATTATTTTCCATGGTAAAGGTCTTATATTATTTTGTTGTAAACTGTGGTGAATGATACACTGATAATTGATTAACAATAATGAAAAAGCAAACTCGAAATTAGGGGTCAATTTTAAGTTTATAACTAAAGTTTTGGGCTACAAATGAAAAAAAAAAACAAGTGGAGAGAGAAACCTCTTGTTCTAATTTGACGCTCCTGATTTTTGAAAAACCCTTTACTCGGGGAACCACAAATCTCAGGTGAATGGAATCCATGGCCGTAGATCCCGAGTCGGAACCGGAGCTCGAACTCGATGAAGGAGGAGATCTGGAGAAATTGGAGTCAGATTTGAAGCAGATGGCTATGAAGATTTCCGACTACAGGCAAACCCTACCGGATCATCTCAGGAACACACTCGATTCTGCTCTTTCCTCTCATAGACCCGCTTTCCCCACCATCCATTCCGGGTCGGATCCTCTACCTTCCTCACGCCTCACTCTTGCAGTCGCAGGTTCCTTCTTTTTCCTCGATTACTGTTTCGTTTTTCAGTGCCCATATCTATCTGGCTTCTTCTTGTATCGAATTGCAAAACCACCCATTTCGAGTATCTCCTTTGGTAGAGGAGCTACTCGAAATTCTAGGGCTTCTCGTTCAAAGTCGATTTCTTTTAGGCTCTCATGAGATCAATTTTATTGAGAGCATAATACCATATTGTACCTTTTGTGATGCAGTAAACCATGATTACATGCCTTTAGCTTCTGTGCATGATGATTGTGTTGAAATTGTAATTGATCAGTTAGAAGAATGGTTTATGTAAGGAGTTACATTTTGGATGTAAAATAGGCAACTTGCTTGTTGCTCAAAATGAATAGTCGTCTTTTGAAGAGTCAAGTGTGAGAGCAATGGGTTTGTTTAAAAACCGAATCAATACTCGCAAGAACTTGTCTGTGAGTCTCTTTGTCGTTTGCGTTTTCTTCGAAAGACTTTTGCTATGCTCCCCAATTGTACTTCAGAAGAGACTCTATTTGAGAAGTGTTCGTAGTATTGTAGAGAAACACACAAAAAGCCTGCAGTGATCCTTGCCTTCTGTTATCTCTGTTATCAGTATGCTTATATCAACCAATCTGCTGTTAATGCAGAAACACGAGTACCCGTTGTGTTGGGAACTAAAGAGCAAGACTTTGAAGAGAAAATGATTCAGCTCAAGGAAAGAATGTCGAGGAACGCTGCGAGTATACCTAAAGTTGTAAAGAGAGTGCGAGAGTGTATAGATGGGATCAACAAACTCGATTCTTTGGACGGAACCATTCACCCGGCTTTCAGAAGACGAAGAATTAACTGACCGGTATCCATCTATTTCTCCTTCAGGTTTTAGGCCTTTCATAGTATTCCTTAAGTGAGATGTTTGATTTGTTTATATGTAATTCTAGATTGATTTTGGCATGTACATTGGTGTTTCTAACCAATTGGGTTTGATTTAACATGATCTTTGCTACAAACATATACAGTATTATGGTTTTTCTAATAGTAGCCGATAAATGTAGTGAAAATATTACAAACTAGATAAAGAGACGAATCAGTTATATTTTGATTTGCTAAATATAATAAGATATTATTAAAAAAAATACAGAATCCTAACTACCTTAACCAAAACGTACGCTCACCGGAAAATCTGCCGGATTTCTCCGGCGAAACCTTCGCCGAGAAATTGACAAGACCGTTTCTTCTCCCATAATCATCCCACAATCTGTAACTAAGACAGTGCAAAAATCCCACCGGTGCATATTCTCCGGTAAAAACCTTAACCGGAACACGTGCCGTTCCCACGTGCTTATCCTTGCCTAAATTCCGGCTAAACACTTTAACGTACATGAAACTCTCTTTTGACGTCTCCGTCGAAAACTCCGTCTCTAACTTGTCGCTCCATATCGGATAATTCCCACCGACCTCGTCGAGACTCGTACTCATGGACTGATTCCTACGACCTCCGGCGATTTCAAAGGAAACGAAGGTGCTCTTCTTCACCGGTTTTCCACCGTCAGTCAATTCCTCCGCCGATATGGCCGTGATCTCGAGTTTACGTGACATTATTGCCTTTTTGCTTGCACGCGAGATTAATTGGTTTATTTGTTCTTGTTCCTTTTCTTTCTTTTTTTTTCCCCAATAAGAACTTGTATTTATACTATTTCTTAAAATTTTCACATTTAATTAATTTTTTGGATTAGGAAATTAGGATGGTGTTAAGAAATTACGTACATAAGACAAGAAGCTACCATCTTCCTTCCTAATTTTTATGCTATTTTTATCGGATAATTAATTAATTTTTATTTTTGTTAAAAAATGTTATTATGATATATGTTAATTGTTTTAACAATAGTTTGTGATTTTAGTATAGGTTAAAGTGTGTGCATGCCAGAAGAAAAGAGTTTAAGATATGTACTTGAAGATCAATAAAATAAAGCAAACCCAGGTTAGCTTGATGATTCCAAGTATGAAAAACTAAAATGAAATCAAAAACATTTTCCTATCAAATAAAATCAAACTCCAAGCGCCTCTCCAAAGGTTTTGAACAAGAAGACGTGTTGTGGTTCAAGAATCTGAATTTGGAAGAAGGAGAACACGAGGCTGGTGAGCTGCTTTTGGAGATAATGGAGGGTGTGTTCTTGAAAGTACTTGATCTCTTCCACTTCTTGTATGCACACACTCTCGTTGCTGCTCTGTGGAGTTTTTGGAGTACTCTCTGAAACTCTTACAGAGGAAGGAACTGTTAACTGTGGAATTGTCAATAATGTAGAAGGCATCCAATGAGATATTTCAGCCTTGCTACTGAGTTTTGACCAATCACATTCAGTGGATAAGGATATTGTTTCTTGTTCTCCTCTAAGAGAACTTGTTGACGAAAGCATACCATTCCAATACTTCATAGGTCCTAAAGTTAAATCCAGGGAATCTCTTTGCATGCTCTTTGCAACATCTTTTATTTGAAATGGTTTGTCTCTCTCATGCAATACTTCGTTACTTTGACTGGCAAAGTTGGATTCAGAACCAGAAGATCT